GTTCTTGTGGTCGGGTTCCCGGCTGGCTTGTCTCCCACTTCCTTTCACAGGCTGGGTGCTTGCGGTCCGGCTTGTCTCCCACTTCCTTGCATTTGTCTTCCATTTTTCCCCAAACAGTTTACTGTTAGGGGTTCTCAATTCTTCCTTAAGATGTGTCCGCCCTTTGTGTCACTGCTCGTGTTCGCCCATTTCCACTGGCCATGTAGCATTTCTGTTCATTTGTCTCCCAGGTCTGTCACTGCGTCCGCCCTTTTCCGTTGGCCATGGCGATGCAGCCACCGGCCACCGCTGAGGGCATGGAGTATACCATCCAAAGCGAGGCTAGGACCGCACCAAGGCATTCCGTCCACCTCAATCCGCCGATCGGACATCCGTTACTCAGGCATTGTGCTGCTATAATAACATTGACATATATGCCACCAACCTCTATAGTGCTCCCTTTTTGGAACAGCCAACTCACAGAGATTTATGACCAAGTCAGGCAGACATGCTTGTCCGAACCTGATGAGCCCGGTTGGTCTTAGAGTGTTCCTTGCTGGCATCTTTGCATCTCAAGCTAGTATACTCGGGCCGTGAGCGTGCAAGACAGACAAAGCAATGAACATATCGGGCACAGCAAATTTCTCAGACAAGACGCGCGCAGCTTCGATTTTGCCCACGTCATGCCAGCTGCTGATGAGCTCTCCGACAAGGATGCTGCATGCCTCATGTCCGAGGCGCTGGCTGTTGTGAAGGACAACTTTGCACCAGAGCATTTGCCAAAATGCATCCACGACTACTTGCTGCCCATTAGCGTGGCGAGTTGCCAGGGGCTCTTCTCCACCACCATGATGTTTGCCGCAGCAATGCCAGCCTTGACGAACGGCGCGTCCATACAGCTGTAGACTCTAGACACAAAAGCCTTCGCCGCTAAGCATGCTCATGTTCCACATTGCGCCCCCGCAGAAGGGTAAGAGTCGCTGGTTTCAGGCGGTCGAAATGTTGTACGAGCCTTGGCTTTCTGGATATACCTTTTCGCCCTTATGTGAGGTGTGTGGGTTGATTATAAAGCTGTGCGCAGCTTTAGCCGCAGCTGTTCTTTTTCATGTCGGTTGCGCCAGTCCAGGAAATGGCCGACGCTTGCGTTCTTACCATGGCGGAAGAGCATATGGCCACATTGGTGGCGAACGCGGAGGGGGGTTGCGAGTGCCTTTCGCAGTCCGCGAATTTTTCTTCAGGTGTTCTACCGATTCCCACAGATGGAGTTTGGCGCCAGAAAGGAAAAGGAGGGACGGCGCCTGTGGTATGGCCAAGCGTTCAATTTAGATGAAGCCTCTGAATGGCTTAAGAACCTCTCTCTCATTGGCTGTCCAGGTGAAAAGTCTAAAGCTACGAGCATCAACCCGCACACATCTACACTCAACACTCTGATTGCGAGGGGAAAGACAAAGCGTGCCGCCAGGACATCTACATCGTATGAAGGCAAGGCTTCCCAGCACGTCAGCTTCTCCGTCTTGGGCAATGGACACCCACCCAGAATCATTGCTATGGAAAGGAACCTGGAAGGCCAGCATACGGCTGCAACCCGTGAACGCTTCATGATGTGCGTCAACTCGTCTGTGGCACGGCGTGATGCCTTGCCAGAGAGCATGTTGGTGGCTGACCCAGATTTGCTCGCATTTACATGGCTTCCCCTGACTACCTTGCAAGCTGCCATTTTCAAGCGGGAAGGCGTTGTCAACAACCCGGAATACTTCGCCAACTCCGTGGCTGAATCGCAGGATGCTGACCAAGAAGGCTACCCCATCGCCTTTCCCGATGGGGTCCCTTCACGGATTCGCTACAAGGTGCAAACCGATGACAGAGGTGCCTTGGCTTGGATCTTGACATGTTGTGGCGGAGAAGTCTATATAGTGCTATATTGGGCTGGCGAACAAAAAATGTCAAGACGGTCCCCCGCTGCTTTCCCCCATAAGGGTGCAACCTATATAACTTTCAAGCTTTTTGTTGTTGGCGCCCAGGACAAAACCTGGGAATGCAGACTGAGTTCCGTATTTCGGGCCGATGGCATATGAAGGATCCCACTGACCGCATCCAGTTGGGGGCAAAAAGGGTCACCGAGCATTTCCGGTCTCGGCCGCACTCGGTGCTTGCAATGGAAGAGGTTGCCCGTAAACTCTTGCTCGGCTGCTCCGATTGGTTTGGTTCCTCTTTGCGCTTGCGCAGTTTCTTTTTCCCTGCAAGACCACCACCAGATGAACCCATGCGCAGCGCGGAGTTTTTTGGGGGGTGAAGTTGCGCACTCAAGGTCAGGCGGCGCAAAATGTGCGAGCATCCACAGTTGGAGGCGCTGCATGCTGGGGCTGCAGCGCATCATGGACAAATGTCTGCCGCCATTGCTGCGCTGGCGCTGGCCAGTGGCTCTGGCTCTTTCGATGCTGCTGGCAACCTTATGGTGACTGCTGAGCATGCGCAGGCGCAATTGGCTGGTTTGCGTCTGTTCAGCGTCTGGTGCGCAGGTTTATTAATTGCTCAGTGTTTTCACTTCAGGTGGCCAGTCGGCTGGTCGAGCTCAACCTTCAGATTCGGCGCGCTTTCCGCGGCCCCTTGCCACCTTCTGGGGAGAGGCCAGCTGATAGCGACAGTGATCCAGAATGCATTGCCAAGCCAGTGCACGGTTTTGGTTCCTTTGCCGCGCCTGCTGCTACCCAGCCATGTCCAGCCCTTCACACAGACGAGGCGAGCGTGCCCGTCGCAGAGGCAGCGGTTGAAGAGCCCGACCATCAACCTGTACCTGTCCCTTTGGCGGAAACGGAGCCTGAAGATGAGCGTGCAGAAGATGTTTCGGAGGCGGCTTTGACGTTTGACCAACTCTTGCCAGAAGAACAGTTCTTCCAACGAGGCCTGGGTGAAGGAGACGCGATGATCTTTGATGATAGCAAGTTCAAAGACCAAGCCCTCCTCCGGAAAGTTTTGTTGAGCGGGCAGAGCGAGCTCAAGCTCAGTCGTGTTGTCGACCTGTACCACCATGGTTGACTCAACCGATGCCAAACGTCGGAAAGTCCGACCTAGGCTCGCCCAGGCCGGGGGGGTATAATAGTGTCCATGTTGCGCGTGCGTTCAGCTTTTGCTGCCTTTCCTTGCCCTGTGGCAGGTGAAGGAAGT